TATATATATATGCGTTCTCCACTACCTATCTCAAATTACCCTTGTTTGCTAAACAAGAAAACAAACTATTTCCGCATCGATGGACTTTTGGGTTTGCAATGCGCGCATCCGTTGTTAGCTAGATTGAATGAAAATGGATATTTCTTAAGTGTTAGATGTTAGCAGACAGCAATATAAATCAATCACTTTGTAGAAATAAATTAAAAGCTGCTTAAAGAACGGCATATTTTGCTTAAGCGTAAACATGTGATAGATTTCCGTATTTTTGCTGATTTGAAAAGATCTCTATTCATACAAATTGTGTTATATTTATACATGGTCAGCGGATCTGTAAGCACTGGCCCCTGGTCATTCTACATAACGATTTATCTTTTGATATATGTATATATGCATATATAATAAGGAAGAAGCATTTCCAATAGCGATTAGTTCAGCAACCCCTACCCCGGCTTTTCGATGCTATACCTAAAAGAAGATTCTGAAGGCTTGTTCACACAGTGAGGACAGCCAGGGCCGACAAAAAACTGCGAGTGAAAAATTGGTTTCCTCCATTGCGAAAAAACAGTGGGATAAAACCGAAGAAACTATAGAAAGATTTTGTGGTTATCAGGCCAAGCGCACGCAGCTTTATTTTCATAGTAGTCTCTAATGAAATTCTAGAGATGAAAGTTATGAAGCAGTCCGAACTGCAAAAAATAGCAACTATAAAAGACGCCAAAGCTCGCAAGATAATCTGAAACAAAACACAATTTAAACTTAAAGCGAACATCGTCTCGTTGTGGTGAAGTTGTGTTAGGTAATACGTATTTATTTCAATCCAAGTGGAAAGATATAACCCCGTGGTTTTCAGTTGATTGTTACTGTTGTATAAAAACCAATACTGTGCTTGCAAAACGTTTTTGATAGTATTAGCTAATACATACAGTCTAAGCGGATTAATTGGCTTTTTATCGGAATACGTGTTGGCTGGTACTTAGTAACGTATTAAGTATAACTAGGCCTGAGCCAAATAGACGATTAACTATCTAAGCTCAGGCACTGGGTCATGACAAGGAGAAGCATCGTGTCGTAATATGCTAATGATAAGTTTTCAACAATACGTTTGAGCCTGCACACTAAAATGTACACAAAAGCTTATTTTATTTTGTCTATTTGAATTTATATTCTCTAATCATTCTACGGACTTGATGGAACAATTTAGCTTGGATTATGTTCAATTTTATATATGGTGCGATGGGTACGTTTACACTAAACCCCATCATCAAAATGATACTTACAAAACTACATCTCGTCCAGTCCTTGCCATGATGACTAATTTGAAGGTCAGCTCGACGATCTCTTATTAGGAAGGAGGATTGGCGCGACTCTTGAGTCTCTGGCCTGTCGAAAATCCTTAAAACGAATCAGAGCGAAAATGGTACAAGCGGCGAAACGGATAAAAAGTTCTTTCTATTGCGTAAGCGGTCACGAATTGAGTCGCCTTCGGTTTTCAATAGACTTTGGCTTGTACTTTAATAATATAATTTAACTATTACGTATACACAACAGAATATAACGCTTCAAAGAACATTTTGACTGCTATCTACCTATATTGAAGGCGTACAGGCATAATGATACATTCGTGTACAATTGTACAGACAAAAAGCAGCTTATATTGCTATCGCATTTTATTTGCATACGGAGTGCAATAGTTGCGTTTGCTAGTCGCGCAACAGATCAACATTGTTTTTTACTGTTACATTGTACTGGGACTTTCTCCCGCAGACAAACTAGTTCTGATACCCATTCCCAATGGGAACCTAAGAGTTCCGCCCTTTCGCCCGCTGTATCTAAGGTCTTACTGGCTTTAGCGGAGGTACATACAGTTTGGCCGTGTTTGAGGTTCAGTAGGAGTAGGACTATCACGCTAACTGGTTTCCAATGAAGATGTCTTTTTAATAACCAATTTTCCGGCAAATTCTGGCGTGACAACCATGCCTATATCGTTTGATGCTTCATATTTATTTGAGTTGGGCATTAGCCAGATCTGTTAAATTAACTTGAAGATTTAGGTATATATTTTTTGCAAGTGATTCTCAAAAAATTACCATTTAATGCTAGCAGCGATCCAAGTGTGTAACGATTAAATTGGAAGTTGAAAACAAACTCTGCTGCTAAATTCGAATCTGGAATTCGTCGATAATCTCAAAAAAAGGACGTGCTTAGCCCGGGGCCGGATCACACATTTTTTAACGTCTTCACATAAAAGCGAAATGAAGTCAGATTATTCCTACTATGAGGCATAACAAGTTGAAGCTGAATCGTAGAGTTTGTGCCGTTATTGAGTACACCTAATGTCTGGATAGTAATATAGTGCGGTAGATGTAACACTGAATTTAAGCGCACAGATCTGTGTACAGCATCTTCAAGACCAATGAGCGTCTTTGGATCTGTCAAAAGCGCCATTAAGCTACAATCATGAAACAAATGGCGAATGAAGATACTGTTGGAAACCAAAGCATTTTAGTACAGCCATGGCCCTCAATCGACGATCTTTACCCGCTCGAAGAGGCCGAGGTAAGTGGAAGCGTAATACTAAGTAAACTAGAAAGTATATGGTTCATAGAAGTGGTAAACTTAAACTTACAAATAAAGAAACATCGTAAAACAAATAAATTAAAAATTTAATACTATACAAATTCGCCTTTATTAGCAACTAAAATGGCATTTAATTAATATCATTCAGCATGAAACACGTTCGCTGATAATCAATTGCATCGTTATCCTCAATAGGAATAAGAGCTCCTACTCCATTATAGAATGTATAACCTGGTATATTTTCTACGCGCACCAAATCATCTACTGCACGTCAAGGACTCTTGTTAGATAGTCAAAGGCGAATGTGGTTTCCATTAAAGTGGAAAGTTTATATGGGAAGTTTGGGTAAAGTTGATCAGTGAAGAGCTAATGTTGCTCATTCTAGTATGCCTTTCAACTAATTATGTTGGCCTATTTAGGAGATGAGCATTTATAGGAGAAAATTTAATCACATTGTCACTGCTAATGGCGGCCATTGCAACTCGGACGAGGCGAGCTTACTTTGGTGATAACCGTCACAGAGAAAATTAAAGAATCAGCTCAAGCAGCAATTTGGCCGTGGCTTGCGTTGCCTTCCAATAAATTATTATGTAACTAGCAACAGCACACAAACTATGTGGACCCACGTTAGCATAAAGAATCCGCAGAGAGTGAAAAGCTTAACAAAGTAACTTTCAAATAGCTTTTTTTTTTACAACAATTAGAACTCCCTCGTTCCGCGTACTTCTGTCAAGCTGATCAACATTGAGGTGTTAATTATCAATGTAAAATTTCGGGCTAAGTCACGCAAGCACGATTTCGTATTTAGTATTGTATTAATTAAATTGAATGCGAAGAACTACAGGAACAATTGACAACCCCTTTGTATCCATACAGATACAATATATATAGAGTTTAACTCGATTTAAACTGGACAATAATCTTGTAGATTTAAAGCTTTTTCTTTCAAATGCGATTTCGTTAGCCAACCCAGCTTAATACATCGGTGTCGATTGGGTTCCTCGTATAAACAAGGCGATATATATACACAAGCAAGAGCTATAATGGGGTTTCGAAATCGGATGTATTTGAGTGCTTTAGCACAGAACCATTAGAGACATGCATCGCTTGTTGAAAATTTTTTACGGCGAAATGCCCGACGGCGCGGGGCATTTATGGCTAGAAGTGACTGTATATCTCTGTACATATAAATATTGTACGAATGCTATGTTTGTGCCTTAGTTAACAAAGTTAATCACCTTTTTTAAAAAAAAAAGAAACTGTGACCTCCATCGGTCCAACATGCACGTGCATTTTTACGCATTGACTATATTACCTACCCTAGGAATCGACGTCGCTGTGTCCGGAGTGTCAATTTAATTCAGGGTCTCTTGTGAGCATTCTGGTCTACTCCGCGCTTTTTGTTTGCGCCACTGTGGGGAACGTACCTGTCTTTCTATCCCTGATCAGGAACAGGCACCGAAAGTCACGCATTAAACTTATGATGCTTAATCTCGCGATCGCCGATCTCATCGTAACCTTCATTTTCATTCCCGTCGAGGTAAGTTAAGCCAATTGTAACAATTTTGCATGAAACAAGTCAGATGCGCGTCTTCAGTGTCAAAGTATTCTTCTAACTACTAAATGCACCGATGCGAAAATTCCAAAACGCGAAACAGAAGTAATGTAAAATCCACATCACATTATGGTTTAATTTACACTGGGGTCGATGCGAAAAGGTCCTTTGGCTTCTTCCTTTGCTTACTTACTTCCTATTTCTGAGAATTCAACTGAGAAAATAATTTCAGTTTTATATATCTGCAGAGTTACTATTGTAGGAAGAAGGGCAATCAGCAAACCGTCATTTTTACTACGTATTTTAAAAGATTTCAAGCGAAGGCAAACGAAAGACCCAAATATGATCTGCGCAATATGCCCTATCAAATCGATAGTCGTTCAAAATTCTATTGTTTTATCAGTTTCGTGCTGTTGTAATGGGCCTAAGCTACAACTAATATCAGCGTTAGTTTTATAGCACTATTGGTTCTCCTCAACTGTATTATCCATGCAAAATTTCTAATGACTTGTGAATGTTTTCAGATTTTTTGGCGCCTAATGGTTCAGTGGAAAGCAGGCGTGTTAATGTGCAAAGTGTTTCAAGTGGTCCGGGCTTTTGGGCCATACCTCAGCTCAACAATCATCATATGCATTTCACTCGACCGATATTTTGCTGTTCTTCATCCTCTAAAGGTAAAACGTAGTCTTAATTTTACTTATTTTAAGACAATATATAAATATATAATAATAGATAATATATATAAAGATACTAGAAGTTTCTTTGAATATTTGGTGCAATTGTTGCACACCTTTTGAGTTCTAGGTTTATAAGGTTTTTAAGGATTATAAGGTTTTTAAAACGTGAACTGTCCCGAATCCAGGGACTATGTACACACACAGTGACTAACCAGACAAAAATGTTTAGGTGCTCTTAAAATACGAGCGGTATACCGAATTAAAAGGGATGACAACATTTAGTTGTACTATTGAATGCTCAAAATGGCCAAGAAGATTTAGAATACTTTCGCTGATATTATAATAAATAGCGTAGCAATATCTATGGAATGAAATAATAACAATTTGTTTTTGTTACATGACAAGGTTCACGATGCCCAGCGTCGTGGCAAAATTATGATCTTTTTAGCCTGGTTCGTGTCATTGACGTGGAGCTTACCACAGGCCGTGGTCTATGAGGTGGAAGGTCATCCTTACATTAAGGACTTCTACCAGTGTGTGACGTTCAACTTCTTTACGAATGCGCCACAGCAAAGGGTTTGTATTGTTGTTGCTTCTGTCTATTCGATATCTTCACAAAAAGTCGTCTGTAAAATGGCTTCAACGAAATAGTATAGCTATGTAGTACGTGAGACAGACAGAGCCTATGATTTTGCTGTGTGAGATACGAATGACGATTTCGTGCTTTCATTTTCTAAAAAAATAGGTTAGGGAACGTCTCAAAGCCTAGGCTGAACTAAGCCGAGCCGTATTCCTACGGTAATCTCATTTTTGTAATATTTTGCTTTGTCGAATAAATATTATGATAAGTAATACATACTGACTAACCCGAATTCAAATAACAATAATAATCACATCATAAGTAATTATTAAGTATATATATATAATCGACGATTGCATTTTTAACAATTAACTCAAGTGATAAAGTTGTTTATTGTTATTGACGGTTTTTATATTGTCGACTAAACTGTATCATATCAGGTATACGTTTTGTTCGGCCTGCTTCTTCAATATGGAATCCCGTTGGTGATTATTATCTGGTGTTACTGCAAGATTCTTCTCGAGATTTGTCATCGATCAACAGACGGTGAGCTTACAACGAGGACTGGTCGACCCACAAATCTTCGAGTGCAGTATAGGCAAGTCGTGCGACTGCGGCGTTCAGTTCCGAGCAACGTCGAGTGGTACGTGGTATTGTTCTTTCCTTCTTTTTCGGTTCCTATTAAAGCAAAATTCGTATGGCTAAAAGCGTCCAGACACGGGGGGACGGGGGGGGGATCGATGTTGTTGATTTGTCAAAGCTGATTGGCAGGCGGCTGAAGAGAAAATACGGCGTAACACGCTTGTTAGTGCTCAGAGTACTTGGTGTCTTCTAATCTCGTTGTGCTGTTACTTAACTGCTCATGGTATTATAGATCGCAACATTATCTTGTTAGAATTTTGACACTGATTCGTTCTATCATCTACTGACTAATGATCCTTTCAATTATCAATTTATGTCTATTATCTTTTCAATCGTAATATAATTCAGTAGCCTAATAAGCCACTTAGCAGGATTCAATATCTTGTTATCTATTGCATGAAAATCATACTGGTCATAGGGAGAGATACAGGCGGACGGGGAGTACGGGGACAAAAAGCTGAAGGTAATAGACGAAAACCGCTTGAGGTTTGACGGCACCAGGTAGGACCTGGTCGCCATTTCTGTCTTGGCACATTATCAATGCCACTACTCTGCACATCCACTGTCTAAATAAACCTTCACTGGTATAATATATTCAATTATAAAAATCCGCTCAGTGCTCCATGAGCATTCAGAGAACTTGAATTAGTCGACATATCACAATGTTCGCCAACTTCTCGTAGTGAAGCAAAGGCGATAGGGTAATTGCCATTTTGCCGTTAGGATCGAATGTAACCACTTTTGTGCCATTTCTCATTGTGACTTTAGTATTACGCGAACACGCAACCGCACTCTACGGCTGACCGTTATCATCGTACTTACGTTCTTCTGGTGCTGGACACCGTATGTCACAATGGTAGTCTGGTACCAAATCGATACCGAAGGGGCCACCAAGCTCAACGAGTATCTGCAAAACGCCCTGTTCATGTTTGCTGGTAAGCGATACATTCGTCATCAAATCATAAAGCTCTGATGGACAGAATGTTACGCTAAAAATATCATAATCTTTTAGGTACAAAGCATGTTCGATGTTGCTGCCATTAATTGAGGATCTGGTTTTTTTATTATTGTGGAACTTTTCAGTAAGCAATTCCTGCGTTAATCCGTTACTGTATGGCAGCTACGCTAAATCAAACTGGACGCGATTCTTTGCTAGATGTCTGGGTATCGGTGCCCACAAAGATGGGGCTGACGGCGGTTCTGTAGCCGGGGAACCCGGTCAACTTGAAAGAAACATTTCTTCACATTTCCGTCAAACGATCATCGTTACAAGTCGTGGCAGCTCTCATCGGAGTAAAATACTTTACTCGACCGTCGATCCGCCTTCTCCACTACAGCCAACATCAAGTATCCATTGTCACCAATCAGCAAACAGTCATCTTGATTAGAGCAAAAACAAGTTTTCTAGAAGTTTCGAAGCAAAAAACACCAGCAGCTTCCTTCGGGGCACCCAAAAAGGTGTAACAACGATACTAATTTTCAGTCGGTCTCAACAATACTCCATGTACATAGACATATAATATTATGGAAGTTATAAAATGTCTCCGAACGTTGCGCCAACTGAAAACGATTACTGAAAAATATGTATCGCAATAAATACCAAAAACAGTTCCACCTTTATATATGTAAACTAGAACGATCGAGGTAAAATAATAATAATAAAAATCTTTATATATATATATATATATATATATGGCTTATGTTTGAACAACTTTCCTATTCTAGATTGAAAAACATTTCGGTAGTGGAATAATGTTAATTTTTGATTTTCGTTTAACCTAAGAATAGCACCATGGTGCCACGGAGTCGCCTTAACTGCAGGTTCATTATATTTGAGCTTTTAATCGTATAGAAGCATAGTGCAGGAAAAACTAGAAATCAATGTGTTGAGTGCCATCTGAATTATTTTACTACTTCTTGTGTATAATTTACGACTGCATGCAACATTCTATTTCATATATGAGGCAGTTCTTAACATATAGAGAAGCTATGAGCCGTTAAGTATATACTTAGTTAAATTCTTTAGCCTAGTTATATATATATATATATATATATATATATATATATATATATAATCACGCATTGTGTATTTCACTAGCCTTGTATTAGACACAATGTATATATATGGATTAATGAAAAAAAACGCGGTGCAATCATTGGATGAACAGTGATTTCCGTTTAAGTCCATAGACAGCAAACTTAATAATATGACAGTATTGTGTATATTGGTTGAGCAGTTAGGATGCAAACCGTTAAAAGCTGCTTCCCACCGCGTAACATAAGGCCGAGTAACGATAACGTGGCATGCCTTGAAGGGCTCGATTCTGCGACGCTGATATGCAACTAGCTGTCACACTCGTTAACTGCTATGAAGCAAATGGAATACAAGGGTAGTATACAGCTGATTTTTGCCAGCAAACAGCATACTTTCCCCTGGAGTAACAGCCTGCCTAGGTCGGATAGTCACCCAGTCAATCATTTATTGTATTATAATAATAGAGTATTTTTATTTTCTCCAAGGAAGAATTTATTATCGATTTTATGACCTGATATACCAAACGCTGCACCATATCAGCGTGACAATACTGCCTATACAAAGCTCCTTGATTACCTGAAAAAAAAGGATTCGTGTAAATAATGAACCCATTGTTTCTGAATGATTAATAATAAAATACGATAATCTGAAAACAGAAGTTGCGTCGTAAGCAAAACCAGGGCTACACATATACTTGACTTTCAAATCAGTCGTAGTATTAAGTGTTCTTTATGAAACTGTTTCACTATTCATACTACAACCTTTACATCACGAGTATTTTAAACAGCCTGCAAACCAGCCTGTCTGCTTCGGTGTTCTGGAGTGAATCAGATAGATATAATATTTATCTGTAGATCTCTCATTTTTTTTTCGATCGGAAATAGTTGAACTTCGACTAAATGGTGGCACTACATTTTTTCTAGGTCGAATTCGATGTTGCTTTCCACGCTCAATTTGTCGATTCATCTGTCTCATCCACCATGAGCTCCAGCAATAACAATAGTTACGTATGGGACTTCCCACTTAATAGATCTTTGTTCCAAGATATCGTAAGGACATGAGTAGCCAAAATCACGTATTGTACTATATTTAATATAATAAGTCAGGCAACTTTAAGTTTGCCACATGTAATAATTTGAGGGTATTGCGTTCTATACATTCCGATAACCCGTTAGGGTGATTCATTCTCTTACAAACTTCAACTTGCAAAGTGTCACCAACAAAACTGGCCAACTGATAAAAACGACCAGTCAATATTACCAATAGCAATAAAATAAAGCTATTTGTGGTTTATATTGCGCCGTTTTTTTCCCCAATGGATTTGACGAAACTTAAGTGATCCGATAGGCTGGTTGGCTGGCATATACATATCATTCGAAAACCAAATTACCATTTGAAATAGTTTCCCTAAGCCCATCACCAATATTTGTTGTTACCTATTCTTCTTCCAAGAGGCAATTTGCAAACTGGCTTTGCCGAGTCTGCCCGATAATGCTTATTTGTTTGGGGAATCATCACTAAACGCATGTAATAGGGATAATAATTATAAAGTATAAAAAAAAACAACTTTCCTGAGGCTGGACATTTATATTATGGTTCGGTGTTGTCAATACAAAGATTATGGTTAGTTGAAAACAAGAATGAATTTCAATTAATGTGGACTGTAAAATGTTCGTCCAGGAAATGAAAGAAAAAAATTTAGTTATGAATCGAGACGGCTTGCAAATAATAATATAGAAACAGTAAAATTTATATAGAAGATATAGATAAACCTGATCGGAATACAGAGCACAACAACAGCAACCTGGCCTAGGCAGGACAGAACAATTATTACAAGAATATAATAATAAAAACTTACCATGACCTTCGTATCGGTACGATCCAACAGGGATAGATTTAGCAGTTCCTAAGAAGGAGTTAAATTTACCCCAGGGCTGACTGTTCATTGAGAACAAAGTACAGCGTTTGAACTAATTTATTATTATAAGAAATTGTCACACCTTTATTTTTCAAGTTTAGTCTAACACGAATTCAGCCAGAATTTTTTTTCGATACGGTTGCCACCTTTTAATAAATTATACATATATAATAAAATATATAGTAAAAAAAACGAACATGCATTAAAAGCTTTTAGACTTCTGTTAGTGTGTGTCCAGTATAGATCAACTTTCTGTTGTTCTTTTTCTTTTTCACAAGGGAGATTTTTTAATTATGCGGTCGACTTCCCGACCTTGTTATCAATGGTAAAAGGAACCTTACAAGTAATGATAAGATAACGACGGCTTATACGTCATGTCGATTATAGTACTGTCGCTTTCAGTTCATGTTTACTAAACGAACTGAAATGGGGGCCGAAAGAGCACGTTTAACAAACTTTTTCAAAAAATTCCAGAAAGTATTCGGTTCCAGAAGTACACAGTTCCTCAACACGGAAAACATCCGTTTCTCGAAAGAGATTCATATCACGTTTTCTACTGTCCTTGATAGGCAGATATAACATGTTGTTGGTGACCAGATCAACAGTGGTCACACCTGATACTCCTACTGTTTCTCTACTAGTCCAGGTGGGTTATATTTCGTTTACGTACATGTGCCAGCCGTGTAAAAGGACAGACATCATATTTTTTTCCAATTGTTTAACATCTTACGTATATAAATATACTATACGTAAATACATTTAATATTATTATACAGATATATATTAGGCATATTTGTTACGTACGTGAATTCGTATACAATTGTTTAATTTTGGTTTATTTCTAGCTAAGATACAGGATCAACTCTAGCTAAAGTTTTGCGAACTATATCGTTGAATTCTTGAGGTCTTTCAAGGTGAATAGTGTGCCCACAGTCGTCGATTACCTGCAAATAAAAGAATGCAGAACGAATCTGTATAACTATCGTTAGGTTAAGCCTTTTTCTTTCTTGATATACAGGCAAAATTGAGTTGTTTTGCTGAACATCGTCGAAAAGAACAATCATAGGTACATATATACAGTTCGGCTATTTTAAATATAAGCTGCAGACTGCTTGTTACGGGACTGTTCAATATATTTATCTAAAGCAGTCATCTCCGCTCTATATAGATTAATTATGACATTTTAATGACAGGTGTGCATATGATCGTTACTGGTTTTGTAAATAATTCATAAACACGACAGAAAGCTTTCTAAATCAAAAGGCCGATTCAAACAATGACTAGCGATCTTTAAATACTACGAACCCCGAACAGGGTAAACAAACATAACTGCTAGGCTTATCATCAACCGACTATCTTCACCTAGAGGTTATCTCCAGGCGGCAGGTGGCGTTCAAGTTTAGTCTATCTTCTTACAATAAATGCATGACGGTCGGCGAAAGGCATGAAATTAACAAAGACTTCTATAGTCATTATTTTGGTTGAAAGTAATTTCTACACAAGACCACAATGGAGCCAAATATAACAGCAGTATCATAGTACTGCTATGATATGCAATAGAAACCCCATTCGGCCTCATGGCCTGTGCAAAAAGCCCTTTTCGCTCTAGTGGTATAATTTTTTTGGTGCTGCCGCTTTTACGTTTCATACGATGTCAGGGAGATAACAATAACTGCTGAGAGGTCGTGCGACAAAGCTTCAAAAGAAAAAGTACAAGTCCCATACTTCAGAAGACATTTCTAACCAAAATAGGCTGTATCAACGTTGAACAAGCAACGAGATCATTATCGGCAAATTAGTTTTTTGGAAGATCTGAGGGAATATAAGACAGGTACACAACATATAACCAGCGAGCAAATTACCGTTCTTTGGGGACCGGGATGTCACAGCACGTTAATGCGTTTGTATATAGGGTTGAAGTAGTTCGAAGTTAGCATATCACTAATTCTGATGTATATTTATTTACCACTAATAATTACGAACAAGAGTAAATCGTTGTAAGCAGTGGTCCATCTACTAGAGTAGACAGAATGTAAACTTAGGCGTACATTTATGACAACGTTGTCCTCTCCGCGTTTGTTCTGCAGAATAATGCTTGGTTTTCTTGTGATGAAGGTCCGAGTCCCAAAGATGAACGTGATCCCGACTGAGATCGGCAAATCTTCGACCATACGTTTCCCCATGGGGTGACGCGTCCAACCAAATTTGTGACTTATGTGACGAAAGAACTCTTCACCTCTAAAAGTAATTATAGAAGACATACGAATTAGCCAGTCTGAAATTTAATATACAACCGTACAAAAGTGGCATTTGTACGGACGTTATTAAATTGGGCTTACGTCTGAAACCCTATACAAACTTATGATTGATTCACTACTACTTTTAATAAGTAAAACATAGTTCTCAGCCTTATTAAATTTTCAGAAAATATTGGAATATGTTCTTTCAAAGGGAATGATATTTTTCAGTCAAGCTCAAGGGTTCAAACAGTTCAAAAGTGGTTTTTCTATTTTTTTCCTAGATTACGCCGGAACTCACGTAGGTCGTCGAACGTTGCAATGATAGAGATACTCCGGTATGGTGTCCGGCATGTGGGAAAGGTACCCACTCATGTAGTAAGATCGAGCGTTAAGAATCTTCTTCATCATACCAAAACCTAGAAAAAGTTTAAAGTAAAGGCTGACTCCCAGGGTGTTATATAGCTAAAGATTCCACACATAGGCTGTTTCCGTCATTTGTAATGCAAACAGTTACTCTCGCTTATTGGTTACGAGCTGTTTCCGGAACCCAACGGTGTATTTGAAATGGCATACGAAATAGATTCCATATATTCGATTTCTCTAAGAATACAAGCTTAGATCAGATGCGTCTAGCCTGACACGTAATAAATCTATGTATAACGTAGTTAAACATATATAGTCGTCATACCTTTAGTGTATAAAAGAACTTAGCAAGTTTCAGCATTTATGTTGGTTAAAATTGAGTCTAATGTATTAGGCCTCATGGCACAATAGGATATTACAAGCGGAATCTGTAATGGAAAATATTTCACCTGCAGGCCCCGCGGCTCGAATAGCTGACAACACATTAATGTACTCTAGCGTGTTCGTGATAGCCCGTCCCCAAAGTGGAAGTCGGTTCTTTCGGGTGGGGTCAAATTCAGCAAAACCCCAGGGGTCTTCAAGAATCAGGTGATGCACTCTCGATGAATAGCGCAAGGCATACGCCGATGAGACAAATCCCCCAAGAGAATGACCGAGTAAAATAAACTGATCAAGTTTCACTCGGCTACGCCACATCTCGATGGCTAGACGCGTACATCAAATACGGGCGACAAAACATATACATATATGTATCTCTTATTCGGCTATACGAAAAAATGTATAGTTATCATATAATACGTGCATACGTTGATTATATGAAGATATATACCATATTTTTGTGCAAAACGTATCAACCTAAGTAAAAGGGAGTTTTCTCTGGGAAGGAATATAGGTAACTAGATCGCCTTGATAACCGAATGATTAACAGTTTGATACTGAAGAAGTGAATACGATCAGATTGCTAATTCTGTTACACCAATGAGTAAATACGTTAATAATGGAAATGACATGAGCGCTGTGCTCAGAATCAAACGTACAATGAACCATTTGAATTTCTGCCTCAAGTGCGTTGTTGCTAAGCGATGCTCGCGAACTTTGCCCGAAGCCGAGCATATCGATCGCATAGACATCGCGTGTTTCGGAGAGAGCATCGAGATTTGGAGCGAAAATCGCTCCCCCGCAGCCAAAACCATGTACTAACAGCAAAGGAAGTCCCGGAGGATTACTCGACGAAGGTACCTGCTGAAATCGTTTGATCAATTGACAAGTTGTGACAGTATTAAACGATAAAAACAATTACGAGGAGTAGGCTTTTTTCATTCACGTACTCTGTAAACATGGGACATGACCAACCTTGACCAACAGCCTCTAGCTACACATCCGCGGTTTCTGTCTAAGCTAATTCAAATTAATTACTGATAATGCTTAGGCATGTCCTATTGTTTTTCAGATAGGTCCGCCATAGTATTTTTTCAAGCAACGATACTCAAATTCTGTGCCAATTTTTCATGTGAATAGCTAGTTCACGCGACTGGAGCGATTCGGAATTATGATTGGAGTTCTATGCTTAATTTTTGCGGCGCATTTTAGCATTAATTATGTTATTTTATTTAAGTCCTATACAGACTTTAATGGTGTGTATTTTGCAATGCCTGATATCGCCTAAACATCCAATGTCCACATCGATGATTTCGTATGGCTTTGCGGTCACTGCAACGAAAAAGTGGATCACTATATTAGTTATCGACGGTTAAACGAACAACTAAGAATTTATAGCACGGATGAATCGCTTACAGGAAATAATGGGTTATATAGCTCCTCTATGCTAAATGCAGTACGACTCAAGATCAAATAACGATTACGCTTTAAACGTCCATGAATACAGCACTAACTATAACAACATTAACTTTTTTTGTTAAAGCCAAAGTAATTGACTGGATCAGAAATGTACGTATGAATGGTTAACCTAGGTTGTACAGAGAGCCATATGCTTTAGAGTAAATTAATTGTTTTTAGCGGAACTCTGCAGTTACCTTTATAGATCTACATACAGTTGTTGCTTCTTCCTATCGAACAGAGAGATTCGTAGCACTTCAAAACATTACATTAGGATGACGCAGAAGGAAATCAGTCAGGCCACAGAGCGGAAATAATACTTGTTTAGGTAAACATAAACTTTTCATTACTAAAGTAGAAAGTAACCTATACCTCGCCAGGGTAGATGTTGGAAACCCCTCCAAAAACCTCCCAAGTAAAATAGCTGAGACATCCAAAGTGTTTACATTTGATAATAAGTTAATACTTTAATTGCATAGTAAAATGATTCTCCAAAAATTGGAAATTTCTTCCTTTTTACTGTTCAGAAGAATGAAAGAGATGAGAGTAATAGAGGCACTACTAAACACGAGTCATCGAATGTAAACTGCTACTTCGATCGAAAAGAGTTTACTGTAAAAGAACTGTAAAATGGATATGCGTGGGTTTACTTTCCTTTAATGGGTGCTCCTATTTTGTGTCGAAGAAGCAGATCTCGGCCTAATTTACAAAATAAACGAACGAATGCGGCGCGTTTTAGTTGGCTTTGGAACCTGGATGTATGTTGAAGTCTGCTTTCTAGGGTTATAAAGAATTTGTCTTTTATACCTGTATAAAATTAAGCATCATTTCGTCAGAAATAAGCGGTAAATTCGGTGCTGATCAAACCCCAAAACACTTTTTCAATCATTAACGAGGCCGTGTAATGGAAGTGTCCTTTATGCATGCGTTTTTCCCGACACCAAGGCTGCTAACTCATTAGCTGTCACGTAACCTATTGACTAGGCATTGCAAGTTATTATTAATTACAATGTACCAATTTTGTCATCTTGCAAATGTTTTGTTTCGAACGTTTTTGTCGTCTATTTTTCTATGACGTAATGTTGTTCAACATCTTAATTTCCAAAGAGTCGTTAAGAGCAATGAGTGGTATATAAGACCACAAGGATCGGCTTCCAAGGTCGTGAAAAGCAAACACCTTCAACGACCCAGCTGTTCTTCTGCAAAGCCTGCAATCTTTTGCACCATTCACGATGACCCTTTCCCTCAAAACCCAGCTCAAGTCTATTTTTGCATTGTGTGATAACTGTTTAATCCCTTCGCTTTAGTGTCATACATGTGGCTTGATTTGTTCGTTGGTATTTGTGATCGTCGTTTCAGCGATGTTGTGGGGCGGCGGAGAGATGATGCTTAATAGACTACGACGATCTGTTACAAATCAGAAATAAAAACGAGAACGTAAATTTGTCTTCTTTTTTTTTCATTCGGTAAAGAAGTTAATACGTATTTTCGAGAGAATCTGTACAGGTGTATAGTCTACGTTAATGACCAGATCGGTTGTTCTACGACAACTTAGTGTCAAAATTCGCGTGCCAAAGTCTTTAATTGTTCTTGTTCGTCCAACTGTAAACATATGTTAAATCATCATCGTAAAAAATATTATCCAAACGAGCTATGAATTCGTAAATATCGATTTTTTTTTTTAATACTTTTATGATTTAGGTATTTCTTGCTTTTGAGCTATTTGACACATAACCTTTAAGTATCTACTTTTATATGAAATATAAGTTTTCGACTCGAATTCATCGAGCTGCTTTCCATTCAGTTATTTTATAAACCTTGATCCAGAAGCTATAAACACTTGGATAGATTATACGTACTTTAGCGACGGCTTTAGAACTTACGATTTGTAGAACTATTACGATCTAATGCTAGGTATTATAATAGATGGATGTGATACAATACATTTTGAACACAGCAGTAATATTAAGATGATACTTGCATGCAAGAACGCGCTGTTCGGCTTGTTGAAGCTGCACCTTCGATGAAGGCACCCAGCGAAGCCAAGTCATTGAAGGCACAACTAGGTTTATACGTACTGGCAAAAGACATTAAATTTCTCGACTTTGTAGTTTTTGTTGGCGTCGTCGACGACCTTACTACGATCTTTCGTATTAAAACTTGCCGATAGACATCCTGAAGACGGCATGACGAAACCGTGATAATTAGCTTTAGTAAAAATATTGTATACATCAACGAAGTCAATTTAAAATGATTCCTCTATCCCCTCTTTGTCACTCGTGCGAGCTGCTCACGCACCAAAACAAAAAGCCATCAGCGAAATTTTATAGATGTCTTTCTCTTCTATTTACCGAAGTCATCCGGCCAAAACGAAACCAGTGAGACGCGTTACTTGCCGTTAGAAGTTGTTGAGTCAGCTGGCATCCACACACTTGTCACTGAGTACACACATTTTACACCTTATCCTAACATGGTAGCGACAAGGAGAAGAAATAAACGTATCAGCTGTAAGAGGACCCTTGTGTGTTCTGTTTGGGCTAATGGAATACTGCCACCGTCAGCTGTTGAAGTTGCTAGGTTATTACTATTGTGATAGCAACCAATACGAAGGCAAGCCTCATAGTACAATGCTCGAAAGAAAGCGCGCGTAAATGTCCCTGTAGGAAAGGGACCTTGAATATCCTAGACAGTATATATTGGTAGATAATCCGATAATTTGTTATAGTTATTTGTTCGTAGTTCTGTTTGAACGTCCGGTAATCATACCTTACCCATTCTAGAAACAATAGCTACTTAATGCTGTGTTTCACACTACAGGATAGTACTAATTACGACTACGTTGCCGCCGTAGCGTCGAGAGAATTCGGAGTCGAGGAGGAACATAGAGCACTATGTCCACTTTCAAAAAGGCACACAAGTCGCTCTGTGTTCTACAGCGTTCGCTGCACTCACCGCACTGTATTAAGGACAACAAGCACCTGCGAGATGTCCCTGTTCCTTCGATTCTATTGAGTTTCTATTTCGGTGAGCAAATTCGGTTTATTTACAATATGGAGCAGACGACACAAATTGGGAACAAACAGAAGCGGCAAAAATGAGACGATTGCAAGTGTTACTTGCGCCATCCACATAGATATAGGAAGTTCACCTATAAGTATAGAAAGTTTTACGCAAAAATTACGTGTGTTTTGTAAAAACTTAACTCAAACTTAATTGTGGTGAGGCTCCTATTCTGCTTTAACTTATGCCAAGACTTGCTGTCATATCCGAGAAGAAATTGTGATATTTCTAATATCAATGCAATTAACTAGATAAATGTTTCAAGTTTTAACGTCCTGTACTGCTGTTAGGCATGGCTTTAGTCGGCTAATCTCAAGCACTAAATGAAGTGTGGTATACCTAATTATTCAAGTACCTAACATTAATTACCTAATTACCTAACAAAGTTATCCACGGTGTATATAATAAACATTAAATTCGCTTCTAAGTTTAGCAAATATAATGTGAAGTTTTTTCCGCTTTCTAAGCTTGACTTCGGGCTGGCTCTTCAAAAACTCAATATTTAATGATGGAAAAGCTTGTAATAATAATAATATAATGAAATATATAATAATATAAAGATAATGTCGTGCTGCATAGCCGAATTGGGAAAAATTTTTATTCGAGCGGAGTTGTTGTGGAACCACTTGTTTAATTCATATAGCATGTACGCTATATGAACGGTAAATATATTCGTATTACTCGAATGGCACCACTCAAGCCCGTTAAAAGTGCAAATAATTCCAATAAAATGTTTTTATGCAAGCATTATTTCTTAAATGAAAAAGTCATTTATTTTTTGGAGATGTAGGCGAACGAGGAGATGCATCAGTGTGCTGTCGAAATTTCCCCAGTTATTTATACTCTCAGTGTAGAGCTAGCTTTTTCTATAGGGGAAAGGAGTACCCACTAAACCACGATTGCCTTTTGTTATAGGAGGATGATACTGATACTTTTGTTTGCGGACGCTACCTCAAGACCGAACCAGGTTGATAGAACGAATCGATTTATTATGTCTCTCATGTATGAACGAGTTCGTAAAAAGAATCAAACATCGAAATGTTTATTTGTGTTAGATTATCACAGTGTACTTCTGTAGGAATATATGAGGATCTACGTTTTTCTGTATTATACAGTAACGCTATGATTATCAAGCGTGTGAAGGAACGCCGTTCAAGACGGCTTAAGTCTACCTTTCGCCAATTCTGAATAAATGCATTTTTGAAGCTTCGTGCTGCTTCGACAATCTGGAAACATATATTGGCAAAGTTCACAGCGTAACACTCGAAAAACAGTGTCTTTCTTAAGGAATTAAGCCCGAGGAAAAATCTTTAAAACAAAAAAAGTGCCCCTTACATTTTAATAGTAGCAATGGGTCGACGCTAAGTTAACATAAAATCTGCGTAAATTGCAACGATACGTGTGTACGGCGATTGCTTTGGATTGGCAAGCTGCAATATATATGGAGACTAGATTCAAATGCGTTTGATTGTATTGTTTAGGCCTGACTAAGTTAATCAACTACGCGGCTAAAACGACGTATTCAGCGTTTTTGCCATATTTCAAGCCTAATTATTTTCTATCGACTTGTAAATACTGTACTTAAAATGTATTAAATTTTGCGCAGTCGAACGCCACTGTCTATCACTATTTATTGCGTTGAATAATGCTTCTTAAAAGCAATAGGCAGGCAAATAAGTTGAAACTTGAGTTTTGTGCAGAGAGACATGGTACGTATTCACGTAACCGGAACCACTGTGTTACGTTGCATACTGAGGCTATTTGTAATTATTGCTCCTAACCGTCGTCCAGCTGAGAGGGGAATAAGCAAAGCTTAAGGAATAAACTCGAAAACCGAAGGGTCACTGATTCTATACTCATGTTTCGTCTAAAAGTGACCTGACTGTTAGACATGTCGTCTTAGTGACGAACAGAATGTAAAAAATAAACTTGATTGACTCAGATAAATAAAAACGCTTTGAAGTAGCTAGCACGCTTGGCACAGCGGCCAGATCTACGGACAAATTCAAGCAGGATATTAACGCCATGAAGGACTACGCAGAACGACAAGAGCAACGAAAACGTAGTTCAATATTTTTCCGGTAACGATGAAAAAGATTGCTATAAACCTGTCACTTGTTTGGAACTTCATGAGGTGGCGTGCCAGGAGATGAACTGGCAGGATTTTGCTTTCCGATTCCTGACTGGCGTCGCTTAATCTTCATTTCAAGTAATAATGTAGCGAGTCAGTTTTTTTGCGACACCCCACTCACACTAAGGCCAGTTGAGTTGACTGCAAAATGGAGGCTGACATGGTAGAGTATTTCTTTGTCTGATCTAGTACAGTACAATTTTCCTGAAAATCTAATTTTTGGAGCGTAAATGAATGCACCTTTTTCGCATCATTACCTTCTTCGCATAATTATCTGATAACCATGGTGATATGAAAACGTACAGGGATAGTCCTAGAGCGTCAAAACTGATAAGGTGAATCCCTCTTTTAAAAATATTTTTTTAATGCAGCATTACGCGGCTCCTGTTATTCAATTCTATCTTCTGCCGCCTATTACTCACTAAGGATCACATAGGCGTACTCAGGCCTTTTGGCCTAGGTCATACGTAAACCTGGGTATATCAGTTTAGTCGGATTCTTTCTCCTTCATAGGCACCGTTATGTTTTTTTAAAAATCTAAATCGTGGATTAAAAACGAAGAAAATACAAAATCATAAAACATGTCGCCCCAAAAAGAAACTATAGCTGAGCTATCGTTTACATTATATTAGCACTAGAGAAAAAAAAAATACGTAATGAATTAATTCAATATACTAGGTAACTCATGTAAACGGTCTCGTGAAGTAATCATAGCCATTCGACAATCGACATGAGCGCAGTAAATTTCTGTAGCCGTCATTGAAATGTTTAGCAAATGTGTGAGAAGATTTACTTGTGTCTCCGAACGGACTGTTCCGGTAGAGGTAAACGTAGCGGATGAAAACCCAGTGATATGTGAAACAGAAAATGCTTTAGTCGACTGTATATAATAGTAGGCCATGTCCGTCTCATAGACAATGGTGATGGATGTTAGGCCCTCCTTAAGTCTTGCTTGCTTCTCTTGTTTTTATAGAGTACCTTCGATGGTTCTAAAGCTAACCGCTCAGAGAAAGTAGGCAAAAGACCGATTTAGAAAGTCATGTTCAAAAGGCACTTGTGCAGCTTCTTGTATCTAGTTTCGGAATTCAAAAAATATCACAATACAAAGTGGAACAAGTGGCCTTTGTTCTACTTCGTATAAATAATAAAAAATGTTTTCTTAAACTGAAAGGGTAAAATATAAATGAAAATGGTCAATAGAATAATTATATAGTTGAACAACTACCGGGAATCTTGACGGACTTACTCTGAGGCCAATAAATGATGAATATTCTTGTATTGTTTGGATAATAAAAATTTCTTTGCCGTGCATGCAGCAAGTTTACTAGGGAGATGTGTTTTATCATATGTATTAGAAATACAAAAAATATATTGGGTTATTAATATACAGGACAGAGCTGGGCTGGGCTGGGCTAACTTTTAGGTCTATGCTGTAAGAGGCATTTATCCAGACCATATATATTCGCCAGGCGATTTGATCATGTCAATTTAATTTAGTTCTATGCACTTTACAAAATTTGGAGTCACAACAAATTCATAACAAGAAGTAAAGTTAGATCGTTGCCGAAGTACACGATTGTTTTTTTCCTAGCCAAACATTCAAATATTTAGCAAACCAAATGATATCCATTGATCTTTATGGTGATCATCTCGAAAAGGCAGAAGATAAGCTCTTCTGTCACACACATTAGGCATTACTTTGTCACATGATTTAAATGATGACTGTTCGACCTGCAGCGCTGGCTGACTCAGTGAAACTAACTGCTCGTTCAAGTTTGTGTATCCCTACGAACACGTGTCTTTGTAAGCCCGAAAATGGTTGACAGAAAAATCTATTTTTATGCCTGAGGTTACCAATATCGTATGTAACGACTGATACAGAATGCAAACATTGCTACATTTAAAAATTTTCAAACTTAGTGAAAATTAATAAGTGCTTGTCCTTAATTGACCATTTCAACACACCATTTTCACCGCACAAAACGCATTTATTAAAACGTAGAACAGGTACGTTATTTTCTTGAACAGTAAAATTTTATTAACTTTTAGGTGAAAATCAATTTGTTTTGTCACACTAAAAACTAGAAACACAAATAGTATATACGGCGTTTGCAATAGATCTTACAATACATCGATTTACCATGCATGAATAGATTTGACACTTATCAAAATTAAAAAAAATTTAATTAAAAACAAAGGTAAAAGTTGTGTTGAAATATTCGATGGCCATTTAGTGTTAACTATAGTGGGAGCTTTTAATTTTTTGTAATGATAATTGAAAAACGATTTTTTGTTTTAAGCAAACATCTACACAATGTAAATGGTGCATTTTATTAATATTCTATACATACTGATCAAAATCGATTTAATATCGTCAGAATCGTTTGAAAACCATTGAGAACATCATTTATTGGTAGCAGCCAGCTCTAAACTTGCGCCACTAGTTCTGTTACCGCGGCGCCAAAAAGTTATCTGTGTACTTGTTTACAGCGCGCAATTATTTTTAAGAATTATGTGTCTTTAGCGTGTCGAGAACTTGTTAATAACGAAAATCAAGGTCTCTGGATTGGATGCAGCGGGTTCGTGCTTGTAGGTAGTGCCTGTTATTGCATTTATGGGCTAATATAGGAAATTACTCGCTCTATTGTTTAGTTCGTTAGAAACAAATATTTGATTTATTTAAATTTTCTGCTCGATTCAGGATTTCGGGCACAAAACTTAATGTGTTTTATTGATTGTCTGTCTAATAATAGTCGGTTTAATGTCCGGTACAAACGAGCTCGTGGATTAGCTGGTTTGTAGCTAAGAAGACCAACGTTATCTTAAAGCAATGAATTTGTTTCGTTAATGAGCGATAACAAAAGTCACGCAGAATTTTGCAATGTGTGCTGTGTGCCGTATGAGAATATAATCGTTTATGTATAAAGCGTTTACTTCTCATTGATATTGCGGAATCTTCGAGCTCAGTGAATCCGTTTTCCGGGGAGACGTGGGGTCGTTAGATTTCTGGCCATTTTCTCTCGTACGATTTTCGCGTCTTTTTTGTAGTTGATCCTTCCAGTGATTCCTCGGCAGAGATGTCTCCGACAGGTCAACTTGATTTGTTTGCATTTTGAATGCAAATCGAATGTGATCGACAACAGTGATCATGTTGAAGTACTAACAAAATAAATTCAAACAAATAGAACGCAGTTATTATACATACACATATGTATTGTGCCAATATGGTATGACCGAATATTCGGAAATAGTATCAATTGTGAGTAGAATTATTTCGCGGCAAAAGCAATTCGACAAATAATTGCAACGTTTATGTTCCGTCGTTTTCCACTCATTGGCCATCGGCCTACATCTGCTTGCCTTTGTCTTGTTTCACCCGTGCAGCTACCATTAGTACCAATATTTCCATTACTATCACATTTTATGACGATACGTAATGGCGTGTATACAGGTCGTGATATTCATAGCCATAGGAACGTACGCAAAACATACGCCCGGCGTTTGACTTCTCGGCCTCTGCTAGAGGGATGCTCGTAAAGCAAACGGATGGACGGACGAACGATATCTACTTTGACTGTTGGAGCATCCCATCAAGGTCAGTTACCTATAAAGCTGCTAAGAAACATCTGGAAGCACTAAATTCGATGAAATGGTACTATCTCTGGGGAAAAGGGTAAACAGTATTTGTTTCGCTCTACCTTCCCGCCTTAGTATTACCAACTAGCTGGCAATTCCCGATCTGAGGAACGTGTGTTAGACACAGATATTCGGATAAGAGGGCGTGCAAGTTAAGGTACATGAGTAGAAACTAAGGCTCAAGTATAAGCCCGTGTGACCAATATTATGACCGACGTCAGCAGATATGGCAGGGAGCAGCTGCCAACATCGCTGCTCGTTTTGTGAAAAGGATCCCGTGTGTGAAAAACCCGGGAGTGGTCGAGTGCATTTTAGCGCAGAGTGCTTCGTGGGTAACGATGGAGGGGGGCTGTTGCTTGCGAAGACTGTGCTTTGACTTGCAGCCGTCTGCCAGCGGCTTTGACTGCCCAGGGGAGGGCGCCTGGTTGGGTACTTTCCTACGGTTGACTGAGCTTAGGGGTGGTGATCTCGATAGAGGACACAAACTTAACTCATAATCAAGATGGATAGCAATCTTGCTCGTCATCTCAACGATAGTACAGGGGAACGGAAGAGGTCGTCGTGCGCACCAATACTCGCTAACGGCTTTAGCCTCAGAAGCATATCGACTTGTACCCCGTTGGCCCTTTTATCCTGCCGCCTCAGTCGCACAGTAGCTGTCCATGTATAATAACGATGTATGGAGGTTCCTGTAAGTCTTCGGCCAGCCGGAACTTCGGCAGAAGTGACAAGCGGCCATGCTGCGCAAGCTCGCTCACCTATTATACAGACAGACAAACACGTACACATGTACACACATACCCATACCAAACCGGGCGTACATAAGTCGCTCTCATAGTCATCAATGTCGTTGTGATTATCTTGTGAGCGATTTTTGTAAAGCGCTGCGCTCCATAGGGAAGGAGTAAAGCGACCAACGAGAAGGACTTCAGCGTGGCCAACTAATCTTCTGTTTTCTTTGACCAAACAGGGTTCTACGGGGGAAAATAAGGCCGGGCTGACTCTGTTTATGATTGAGCGCCACTGCCAAGCTGTGTTATGCTTCCAAGGAACTTATTAAGCTAGTTCCGTCTAAGTTTGCCGGTAACCGTCATGTCGACGTACGTGGTCCACACAAACCCTATTGAAGCTCTCTCCATATAGTCTCCATTATAGCATTTTCGTTGAGCTTGTCTCGACCGTCGGCGTTGTGGTCGATTGTATCCTCGGCCGTATCGTTTTCTTCGGCCTGACATTAGGGCGGGTCACTAGCCGCTTTATACTGAAGCAGTGCTTATAAGCGCCAATCAACGTAACCTGTCGTCCGGATAATGACTGGATCCGGGTGCATCCGCCAGGGAATGAGCATAACAAGCAGCGTTAGTGGCAGAGCTCGGCCACAGTTAGTGTTGGCAGGCCGCGTACGTATGGCGGCATTATTATATATTCGCGACGCATCACCACGTCGCAAAAAGATACACGCCGACAGCATTCCAATCATGGACACGAAGAATCTTCACCAAAAACATCGTCTCTGTCGGTGAGCAAAACTAGCTCATGGGTACGCTACCGGACCAAGCCAACAGGCACACAGATATCCACAAAAGACACTAGATCCTAAGGACTCAATATTTTTTTTCAGGTATAGAGCCAAAGAGAGAGAGAGTGGGATATATAGCTCGTTGACGCAAGCGGTTGCTCCTGCTGCCACGGAAACCTGTGTAGCGGCCGCTGCGTTGGCCGGTACCGGCGGTTGAGGCAGCAGACTAATAGAAGAAGGTCGAGTGTGCGAACTGAATGTACATTATGTATGGACGGATGGACAGCAATGGCGAAGAAAAGGAAGAAAAACACAAATGAGTCCTTTGGGGAATGATGGAAGTGGAACTGCGTCCGATTATGGAGAAGACGGGGAAACCCTGAAGGACCAGTTTGTTGGTGGTCCTTCACTAGGGCTGTTCCTTCCGTCCTGATGAGAAGTCGATAAGAAAGAAACGTTGCGAACGAAAGCTTTTGGGCGAAACAAAGAACCAAGAAACTACTGCCGTCATTATTGTATAACCAAGGGCATATAGCTTATTACAAACAGCCATAACAACAGTAGCAATAGCAAACCACAATTTGTTAGTTATTGAATTAGCTAACATTATGTTAGCGACGTGTTACACCTGCAAGAGTTCTGTAATAATTATGTGATACTGTGTAGCCGTGAAAATGTTCGGGGCTTCAGATAAGGCTCCTCATAGCACTAGTAGGTACTATAAGAAGTTTTGTCTGAATTTCCCCAAATCTAGGCTATAATGCCTAATTTAAAGAACGCGATAATCATTGAAGGACATATACACAAAACGTTTGCCTTCTATTGTTGAGGTGGCCAACCAACTCATCAACGTTGTAATCTAGAAGGGGCACTCGATAATTGAATTTTCTGTCGGAACGAATATTTCGTATACTTGACTTTTTTTTTACTAAATTTAATGCTATTAATAGCACGCTAATCGTCATAGACTATACTAGAAAAATCCGAATCTAACATCGACCGATATGATGATACATTCCCAAACTACTGATTAAGGCTTTGATTTTTCCGAATCGTTCGCTTTACATTTCACGTTCATAAATTATGGATCCGATAGAGTTCTCTAAGAGCTAGAGTAGTTCGAAAGCGTCAGATAACCTGCAAATGATTTATTTTTGGCAGGAGAGTTCTGGAAGTTAAGAAACTGGGTGGAAAACCTTCACAAGCACATAGTTCTAGAAGGTGTATCTCTTGATTTATAAGCGCATTGATATGTTTAGGTTCAAGCACACAAAGACGAACAAAACAATTATCTTGCATCGGCTTACACGTGAGTCTGATACTCCACATAAGGCGCCACGATAATATAAAGCGTTTATCTATATTTCGAATAAAAAACAGTATAGACTATACTTGCCGTGTCTCGTTTTTCTCGGGTGAGATGTTCGACGATGACTTCTCCAATGTTGATTAGCAATGCGAAACAAAGACCCAAAAAGAGTAGAATAAAAGCACCTGAAAGGTCCCCTGGCGAGAGGGTTCTGAGTTCGACCTTCTGCTCATTGATGCTGTCGTCATCACCATCATCGACGTCGTCAAAGTCACCGTCGTTATCTACATCGCAAAATCTGCGGTTGAAATCACACGAGTACAAAGACGGAGAGCGGGGAAAAATACACGGAACGTATTAAATTTGAATATTTTCCAAGGGCATAAAATGGGCTAGATGCATAACTAACTAATAAAGGCATTATATACACGTGTACGTATATAGATGTATATGTATATATATACACAGGCTTAACCTGTTCGTTTGCAATTCGAATTGATGTTTGAGCGTCGTCGCCTCCCTAAAACATGCCAGTAGCTAGGGCTGCTAATTAGAAAAGCATAGCGTATAAGAACACGGTACAACTTTTAAGGGTGACAGTAATACTTTTATATCGAAAGAACTCATATCTATTGATATGTTACTATGCTGGTACATGTATCCAGTTTGTAAGCTTTTATCTGCCTACGAGAACAGAAGAGTTTTAAATTCAAGCACCTTATTTGAACCAATCCACCGGTTTAGTGTACTTAAAACCTTGTGAAGCTGGTAAGTCATTATCAAAAACAGACAAGGAGTGAGAGTATATTTCTGCATTTGACACGGCGATCCGTTTTCCACAAGAAAATCAGCCTAAGCTATATTAAACATCAGTGATTTTCAGTTCAAGTTTATTTACCTTTCTTATGATAGCTTAGTCGGTAATGTATTTGCTTACTAATCATAGGGACATATTATGGTCTAGGCTCGAATCTATAGGGCATAAACGGACTTTGTTTCCTAGTGGGAGCCAACCGTTTGATGGAGTTCCCGACGGCGACACTTGACGTAAAACTCGAAACACAAAGAAGTTTATGTATCTAGAGAACTTTGTTGAATGAAGTGAAAAAAAGCCCTTCGCGAACAGTACGCTTTTTAATTAGTCAAGCAGCGAAAAAATGTCAATTCAAAATCCGGCCTTTTTTTTTTCTTGCTCTTTATATTAAGTTTATCAGTCATGTATAAATATGTAAAGTGGTCATATTTCAAGTCAATAATATTTTAGTTATTTTATAAAGAACGCGTAAAATGGGCTAATGAACAGCGTCATAAGCCTCATAGGTAGAACTCAAGGTCCTTTTTGAAGGTTCCTAAGGTCTAATTGCTAGCGCCTTTCATTGTCTAACGTTGGTTACGTGTCCATGAGACATGATAGTTTACAGTATTTACCACAACAATCTATCAGCCAAGTGCACGCTTTAGCTGCTCTTCTTTGCGAGTTAAACCAAAAGGCCACATTGGGTTGCATACTGGAACCCGCGTACTCGCCCCAACTCATGCTGTATATATATTCTAGTTTCGTCTTAAATCATATAAAGGTAAGTACCGTCGAACATCCACCGATCCGCCGTCATCAGTTTCCATCATTGAGTCCTCCAGAGACAATTCGGAAAGGAATCGCAACAACAAGATCTCGCAACAGTAGCAACACCGGTCCGCTGCGTAACTATCATCAGTGTTTGTTACGTATATGAGCAATCGGAGCCATTTTTTGCCCTACCCCTTTCTCCAAAGTTCACGCGGCCTGCCTGACAGTGTTGCGCGACGCGTTTTTCCACCGGTTTTTCTTCGCTTCTGTTCGGCGGCTTCAGCCGGCATGGTTTTGGTCTTCTCTGTCTCTCTTTTCAAGAGCAAGGATTTAGCCTGCCGTCATCGCCACCCGTTTGGCCTGACCAACAGAGTTTTCTTTTTGAACTCTTTATAAGAGTGTTCTCAGACGAACCGTCCACCTCTTGCGAGCCTTCGTTCACCTCGATCTTTGAAGATTTTTTTCCACGCAGCCTTCGTCTCCCATCCTTTTTTCTCGACGGACAGCAATCGTCGCACAGACAACGTTACCAATCTTCGCTGGACTAGCAGGGTTACCAGCAGAACTAGCAGAAGAGGGAGCCATATCACCTACAAAAATGCCCCCTGACGTTGCTTTCCGCACATGAGTTGCAACTATGTCACCTATTATCGCTAAGCGGTGCAGCCTCTGGCCAGTGGCCTGCGGTTAACCCGTCCTTTCTTCATTCAATCAGGCAATATGATGTGTACGTATACTTGTGCGTATGTGCTTGTGGCTTGTGCGCATGATCGGATCGTGGTGCAGAATCGGCCTTGAGATGCCCGTTAGCGGTCGCTGGAGGTGAAAACGTTCGATTGTGGCTGATTCCTCAACCTCGGTATTGTAGGTTGAATTTTATCCAATCGCCGAAGAAGTTGCAACCCAACGGTGAAAGTGCACCCCAATGGTTGAAGTAGCATATATAGCGTACATCTTAGTGGAAGCCAGGTGAGCTGCCAACCAAAATACGTTTTATAGGCGAAACAAGCCGAAAGAGATCACGTAGTGAAGTGACGGACCTACAGACAAGGGCCGATGGCTTGTGCCCCTCTGGGCGCTGTGCATCAAATCGGAACGGTAGAAGAAGGACGTGGCAATAAGTCGAGACGAATAGAGAAGAGGGGCGAAAAACTGTTTCTGAATTCGAAGTTATTTTTTGCAATCGTCTTTTGTAGCAGCTTTGCAAGCTACGTGCATCTCGGCACAGTTCTTTGGATATGCTTGACTAGCTGTTAAGGTTAAGATGATGAAAAACACAAAGTAATTCTAGATGATTCAGGTCGTTTTCTGGGTTTCAAAGCGATAAAAAATTGCCAGGGGGCCGAGAAAATCGTAGTGGTTCATAAACGTGGTACAGATCAGATGTATGATGATCAGACATGTCAGAAGCGCATAGGTTTGATCGCAGCGCACTTATTACCTGAACAAATCCTTAACAAAATAGAGTAACATCAAAAAAATATCCACCACCAATATCCCAAAGGGAGAGTGATACCTATTAACGTAGATGTGCATGAAAATTACGTACATATTCGATCAGATTTGCTAAGTTTTTTTGTTTCAATGCTTGTACACTATTAAGATTAAGCTTAAAGTATAACCTGATCCTTTTATCTTATGTTCATCACGGCCAGTCCAAAGAAGCGTTGCTGCCACTTAGATCGATCGATGAAACTCAAAATAGACTGTTGTTATGTATACCTATTATATGTAGTCGCAAAAACGGAATATATCGTTTAATAGGTAAACGAAGTAGAAAGGAAAAAAGTAGACTCCCACCTTTTGGTCTTCCACCATCGCTCTTCACGTTCCTGAAGAATGCCTTTAGCTTGTAGGTTAAGTACGATTTCAGATAAAAGGCGGTTTGTCTTGCCGGGATTCTCTGAAATGTTATACAAGAAAAAGATAGGTTGAAATTTTATAAGAAATATCGTGTTCATTGAGGAATATTAAATACTACGGTTTCATCGATCATTTTTGTATCGAAACCCTTAAACATAAATTTGTCTGCTTTGGCGAAAGTAAAATAATGAACGAGAATTGCGAAGTTAAGGAATTTTGTGTCCAAATGTATCGTTGGCATAGTATATTCCTTTCGAGAAGAAAGTCAATAACTTTAAGTCATTGGAAGATAATATATTAAGATAAACATTTAGCCCGACTTGTCATACTTTTGTCATAGAATTTCATTAAGCTTATGACGAGCCAGATTTTTACCAAAATTATTTTCATTTATTTCCAAATTATATAGTAATGTTCCCCTTTCCATTTTCGGAACAACTTATACTGCCGATAAAAAATAAAGGTGTAATAAATTATGATACATATATATGATGATATATGACAAATGATGATATATATATACATATAGTTTTTAATCCTACTTTTTGACATTTGTCTCGACACCCAACCAGGGGCGCTCTACGTACTTGGTCACTGTTATTACACTTACTTTTATTTAAGGCAATACCATACGAGGCATGATTGGCAAAAGGTTTTGTCATAACGAGATCGCAAGAGGAAGCCACCAGATATTTAGCTGAGGCGTATTCCATAATGAAAGCTAGATGTTCATCTTGGGATATCTTGGCTAGGGCATGGGTCATGTTTTTGACTTTGGGTGTTTCATCTTTGAACATTCGTTTGTTGATTTCCCAAAGAACAGGTGCATGCGATGTCTGAAAAAAAAACAGACAATTTTTCCTTATCAAGCAGTAATTGCCGAAAAAGTTGGTTAATAATAAGTAACTATGAAAGATTTCGTTCAAGACTAAAAGGTCGAAACGATTAACGCGAGTAAATTAATGTTGCAATAATTCACATAATAGAACAGGTATCCAACTGCAATGCAGCCTACCTACATTGCTAAACAAACACCATTAAAAAACGTTCAGAGACGTATCATTAACTTTAAATCCGGACTCTATCAAAATGTTCCATCTTTTAAAAAGGCTATCTTCTTTTTTTATAACTAAATGTTAATGATCAATATGGTCTCAATGGGGATGTGAAAATGTTTGAATATATGCACTACCTATTTTTTTGCAAAAGGCCAGTTAGCATTAGGTCTACTGTCCTCTGTACCTATGTCCTATGTACATGTACGGGCCCAGTCCCGGACATGTGAATGAGGCGTAGTTTTTCCTTATATATATATATATATATATATATATATATATATGTATATATCGTTATATTATTACCCTTATGGTGTAAATATGATAGCGAGAAGCAACGATTCTTTTCTGATCCACATATGGTACGCTCACCTGATAAGTGATTAAAGTTAGTTAATTAATGTAAGTAAGTTCGAATGCTCATCGCGGTAGTAGCGTCTGCATGCCTGAAACGTTTTTCAAAAGGCTCAACAGCATACTTAAGAGATGATGATGTATTTTCAATTAAAAAAAAAAACAAGCTTTTTGTATTGATACGACAATCTAAAAATTTAAGACGTTTCATACGATTCCTTTTAATAAACAAACATACAGACAGGAACCACGAGGGCGGGTACGTAGAGAAGGCGTCTTATTAGGTAGCAATGATATTATAATAGAATAAGGATGAAAAACAATGACACGCTTCAACCGCTCGTAGCTAACCCCGTTATTTGCTTTGTTTGTCAAACCTGTTTTACACCAATGTGTACATATGATTGTGAAACATTCACTAGTACACTCGTTATACTAGCTATCTGAGCTGAAGCGCAGAACGACGAAGTCGACAATACACTTTACTTCAATCAGGAGGAGGATACTCGGCGCCTCCGGTGCTTTTGGAAACGGCAGCATCCGTTGTAGCTGCACCAGCAAAAGCACGATTTATATCATTTACGGATACCAAGAACTTTCCTCAGATCTCCCAGCAGGGAGTCTCAAAGCATAAAGGAATTTCAAGAAGAAAGATTTCATAAAAAAAAAAAGACAGAAAAAGACTATACACCCCTATGGGAGACTCTAAAAGCTCCTAAGAAATTTTCACTTGGCGAGGCATTCTGTCAAGCGTTTTTGCCTTAATTTTATTCTTTTTCTTCTCGCCTTTAACAGCAATTGATCGCAGATAACATGCTTTTGTTCTAGTTCATATGATCCGAATTGAATTTAAGCTATGTTTTACGTTATCAAAGCTTTTCGTATGGGATTCAAGTTGTCTATTGTGTTCCTATCATTGTTGCTATTTATATTGTTACGATTGCAAGTAGTTGATGGATATAAAACGTAATATATATATAAACAGTACATTTCAACGAAATCATTCGAGGGGAACGGAGTCCATCCGTACACAATCCAGTAAATACGCGGCGATCCGCGACACCCAAACCTCTCGAAATGTACATGGCAGCGTTTGTATTGCTCAAAATACCTGAACGTTCAGCGCCTCGGAAATGTGGATCGGTCCAGATGGCAAAGGATGATATCCGGCTGCTAAGATCCGTTGAAAAAGAATTTTATATATATATATATTTATCGTACGTCGTAATGTATATAGCTATTATCACTCTCAGAACGCATGTGGTTGACTGAATTCTGCTAAATAATGACTATATAAAGTAATAATATTTAGTATTATTATTATTATTGTTGTGCTTCCCCCATAAGTTTTTTTTCGCGGCGAGCAAACATAGCAGTTACATTTTTGTTTAGTCGTCAACCGGTCGAAATCAACTCTGCCTCACTATGATTATTAAGTATGGTCGTACTGGACTTATAATGTGGTCAAATATGCAGCGGATGATTGAATGGAAGCGTTCTCCTCAGTCCGGCTATAGGGGCATACAAATACAGGCAGTTAAGCGGCCCTCAACGAATGCTGAGCCGCTTTTCTATAATTATGACAATTTAATGATGTAGAAGGGAGAGCAGAGATTGAAATGCACAAATCGACTGGTAAAACACACACATTTAGAGAACAAGCAATGAGTTAGTAGAATTTTCACAAGATGGCCATTGTTTATTGTCGTTAATTTGCTACATCTGTACGCAATTACAGTCTTCTTTCTGTTACTGTGCCTTGGCCACATGAGAACGGTCATCAAAAGAATTCATATACTCTTAACTGCTTGAATATATATATATATCGGTTTAACAACGAATGTGGAAGATTAACGATAAATCGTTGTTTGTAGCGCATGGGGAAATTTAAATATGACCCAGTTTTTAACACTGAGGAATATGGTTGATAACCCAAAAATTAACACCGAAGACGTAAATATATCATTATCGATTGAGTGAGTTAGCTAGACGATGCTGTTTCCGCAGCAAGTGATGATCCATATAGTAAATCGCTATGCATATTCGAAGGACCCCACTTTCTTAGCAGTGTTCATTGGTCTAATTAATTATTGCTATTGCTGATGGTCAGTTACCAGCTCGAAGTTTTACCCTTTCTACGTACGATAAGTGGTTACGAAGTAAGAATCCACGAATTCAGTAATCGAACTAGGTCAGGCGTTCTGTTAAAAAAAAAAAACATTTCATTAACTCTTCGTTGTCACCATAATCATTGGATGATTACATATAAATAAATCTCTGTACAGATCTTCCTGATGATGTGCAAACTACGATGACGTGCAATACGGTTCCAAATTAAACTGACAAATAATTTATGTGTGTGCGTATAAACGCGTTGTTATGTGTTTTTCTATGTGTGTTTTGGACCATAGCCTAACAAAACTATCGGCTGAGATATTTCCCGAGCTTCATTTCCAACTATTTTCTACGCTTCGACCTCTCAGTCCAGCTGTTTAGAAAAATGGCCTATTTTTATCTGTTTTTTTGCTCTTCTTTTATCCAAATATATTTGATCCATCGTTTGTGTCTTCAATGCTCGTTTAACCATACATTTTCGTCGACTGCCCAACCGAAGCCAAGCCTGTGAGCCGCTGTCACAAAAGCGGTTCCGAAAACAAAGACAAGCGGATGAGAACGAAAAAAAAAACGAAGGAATATGGAGAAGCAAAGAACAGTCGCAGGCTGGAGCGACAGGAGGGCGGAGACAGCGCCTTGGCTCTCAAACTTTACCAGGCCCTGACCTATCAGGTTCGCTTTTACCTAGACAAGTTTAAGTGGAGGAAACAAGCTATACCTCGCTTCTCTGTCGCTCATATGCGAGAATGATATTGCCTACCATTAATTTACCAAGAATGGGCGGGCATCACTGACAGTTGGGTAGCACGAAGGAAAAAACGAGCATACTTGAAAGATAGGAAAGAAAATAGGCCGAAGGTAAACATCGCTGCGTTCAGGCGTGACGGTCAATTTGACCGGAAAAGGCATGAATGAAAGTAAGCAGGCGGCTGACAAAAAAATTCTAGACATCGCAAACGAAACATAAAACCTGCTTTCTCAAAGACATCTTTGTCTACGAAAAGGCCAGGGTAACACGCGCAATCAGGGAAGCTATGGACGCAAGCTGTTAAATACTTATTGTTTAATTACTTTAGCACAATGTGCTATTGAGCAACAGAGACATAATAAAAATGGCTGCATCGTATCATATGCGTATACTATGGTTTCTTAGAGCACTTTTCAAGAATCTTTCTAATGAATATAATGATTGTTATTATAGATAACTTGACAAAAATATGCAAAAGCTAGTGCAGCATCATGGCAAGAACTGTATAACTAATATACTGATGAGAAAAACAATTGTTTGTAAATATCTCTATCTTGATCTAACGACTCCTGATAACTACTTTAGTTCTTCATCGTAACGATTTTTATGCAGACTAGTAAATTATAAATATTGCTGTGGTGGAAGGTACCGATTTCGGCTACAATAGATGCTGACTCTTAGGGGTGGCATGGTCTGTCGAACGTTAATCTTTGGTACCTTTTTGGGTGGGTATTTGGGATAACTCCGGATGAATATTGCGGCCATCGCTGACTCACATTTCAGCTTTGACAAATGTTTACTGCGGCATATTGCTAACATTCCGTTTCATGAGCCTTTTGGAGGACGACCCAAATGATCCACCAAAGGATGCAGGCTAGATAGCCAAAAATCGATAAAGACATATGACATATAATAATTCACATCGGGGCCGACACCTCGCGGTGTAGGTCTGCCCCTTTCGGCAGGACCGCCCCTTAAATCGTCTTCACGGTTCAGATCCAAGGTGATTCAAATACAAGAAATAAATCCTACATGTTAACTATGTTAGCTATCTCTCTCTCTCTCTTTGTACCTATATATATCTATCAATCTATCTATCTACCTACCGAGTTACACAGTGAACGTGAATAAAGGACATTATTAGATATATGTATTTATTTAACACCTAAATAGGCCAAATAAGATTATTCTGAGACTCACCATGAGTGTTCGGCAGGTTGCTCCATGCTCAATACACGTGAATTTCATTCCGCGTATGCGAAGTAACCCTTGTATCGTTTCCAGCTTCGAGAAGTCTTCATCCTCATAAAGGACACTTTCACAAAGGTTTCCTACTATGATGGCGAGAATGACAAAAGTGAAGAAATACCAGAACCCAGCGAGAACACGAGTTGCGGTGGCGCTGAATTAAAGCGTATTGAAGGAAAGACGAATATTAAGATTTTAAATTTTGCTATAAAATAGGCCCCTATTGAAGGGATGTGATTAGCTGTACTGACGCTTATTGCCTAAAACTTTATCTGAGCCTGTTTAAGATCGAAGGATCCGTATTTCAGTATGTCGATAAGGAATGACGAACGAGGTCGCCTGCGATTATTGTTAATGGCCATGGGGTCTAACAAATTGAATATCTTTACTTCTCGGCCCATTTTAAGGAATACAGCCGGCAAAGCCATAGTTGTCGACCTGAAGCTATTCGATCTAAGCATCCTATCTAAAGACTGAGAGAGCAAACACACATATAAGCAGGTAACTGCGTCGTGAAATGAAGGACCGCTTCAGCATATAATGCTGGACATCTGTAACCTTTGAAAAAGCATTTCCCCTAGTTGAGTTTCAGTCGTCCTTTTTACAATAGAATTCGATGCTTCAAAAGCCAGATTGGGGATCTTAGTGGAAGTAGTCTGGAGTGATCGAACAGGAGAACAGATTGCCGTTATAATCACTTCTCTTATTACTCCAATTGCAAAGATAATCTAGGTTGAAATCTAAGCAGAGAAAGACTTTGGTTCTTCAGAAAAGTAATTCTATAAAAGAAGAGAGCAAGCGCATATTGCTTAGTAAATTCGGTTGATGACGCCATAAGTCTCGTATATATTGTATAAGGATAGAATGCGATTATTTAATAAGTTAACCTTATATATATAATCGGGCTATAACTAATTATGATTTCGTTATTGTAATTAGCAATTTTTAATCATTTTACAAGTTAGGCCAAAACTTTAATGAGGTTCGTATTGCTAGACAAAGTTAAACGTAAAGCCATTTTTGTGACACAAGTATGGATTGCTAGATTTATTGACTAACAATTGACTAAATATATAATACGGTAGTTACCGTACGTCATAGCGGTAGTGTTCTATTTACTTTGGATCGAGGTGCATTCTTTGATGTAATAACGTCGTAAACACAAACAGTAAGCAGCTAACAATGCCCAGTTGGTTATCTACTTCTTCCGCCGGCCCGTTTACGCCATCGCCCGTATTCACGTACTCCGACAGGCAGAAACGTGCGCACATGTACATGATCAGTGCGGTCAGGAGTCCAGCGACCACCGTATACATCCACACCTATAAGCAACAGTTGGGTCGCAAGCATTCAATCAGGCAAATTACAAACATCGTCAGATCGACATACATACTATATGGGTAATATACTGAATACAACTCAAAAACGACTTTTCCAACTTGGAGTTAGTTGCAAGGCATTCTTCTTAAATGCAAAACAGGTTAGAGAAATTCACATTGTCGATCACTGACCTCTCTAGTTAGTGGCAAAAAGAAAGACCAAACCCCTCCTGGCTTTCGTGGGACGGGGGCTTTGACAACGGCCACAAGTTGGGCCGTCATAAACGGCAGGGTGAAATCGACAGCCCGCAGGCGCTCATCCGAGACAATCAGGTCGGCAATCGCCACGTTAGCTTTCTGAAACATGTCAGTATAACAGCATATGTTGAATATATATATATATATATATATATATATATATATATATATATATATATATATACTATGCGCGTTATGCCGACTATTTTCAATACATTTGAATCCCCATTTCTCGTTTGCAACAGATTTTATGTCCACAATTATGGCATGATATTATGAGTACACGTTTCGACTGATTTTCTGAGACTCTGCAGAACAAAAAAAGCATATTTTTACTCTGTTTTGGGACGCTATTATCTATGAACCGTGTGACTGGAAGTGATGTGACGTATATGAACGTTTCGGTTTGAATGTATTTTCTACTTTTTAATTGTAATTTTTTTTATATATATTCCAAGTGGAAATCTTTTTGGCACTTTTTGGTTGAAAGATGGATTATTTACGCTAATAGCATAATTAAAACTTGAGCAGTTTCTCTATATTTTGAGTTTTACATCCAGTATCGCCGTTAGGAATACCATCAGACCGACGGTCACAACTCCTGCCAGCGCGATCGTGTGTCTATGCTCGGGTTCGAACCTATATCACTATAGGTCCGTAAGGTTATCGTGCAAATACATAACCCATTGAGCTATGACGGGCACCGGTCTATCACCGTAATATCAAATAGTATTCAATTAGTTTGGAAATACCTGCTGAGCTAGCGCTCAGGCTCGTTCAACTTTTCCAGAGTAATTCTACCACTGTCAATGCTCAGTAAAGTATTCAACTGGATTTCAACAAAAACAAAAAATGGCCTACTTTTCGACATCGAACGACGACCTTTCGCACGAAATTCAAAAAGCAACGCGGTCGCTTGTTAAATCTTTATTTTGGGTCATAACGGCTTCGAAGCCCAGATTAATACCCCCCCGCCGCTCAAAAGTGTGTAACCAGTACGACAATTATAACAACATACTCACATGACACCTATTTACAGACGCCGGTGCCGGGAGCTGATTTTCATTGCTTTCCAACAATAGTGGAGTTCCATCGATATGGAGCTAGATAAATTGATAAATCCAAAAAACAAGAAACTGCAAGAAACACGTTTCCCTCTTAAATCAGCTTTTAGGTAAATATCGTCATAAAAAGTGTGCCAGAGCACGAAAGCTAGCTATACGAAAACCAGAAGAGTGACAGTAAAGATTATGGTACAGAGTTGGAGACCTCCTACCCTCAAACAATGTTCGGTTGGTCATGCGGAACGAGAAGGGGCGGAGTGGTCCTTAGCAGGCAGCTCAACAGTAAGACACGAGCTACAAGAGTAGTAGCCACTCTATAGGAGTCATACGTAGCTTGTTTACGAGTTATGGTTACATAGATCCAGAGAACGTTGTAATCCTCATTACACCTTTTCTCTCTTTTTATCTAACGGTAGATGCCCGGCTGTGGCAGTTGAAGAGGAAGCTTAGAGTAGCAATAATGTTAGTTGCTATCGAAAGCAGGGGACGGGGGGTGCGGGAGATGATGTTACTGGTACTGCAGATGTGAATGCGTCTGCTTCAGCCTGATGTCATATAGTAAAATCATTATCACTGTTGCTATTATACAACGGCTAGGATCTGAAACAGGGTAGCGCCGAGAACACGTGACCTTAGAACGTCAGATAAAAGCGAGTGGATTCACTGCTACTATCGGCGTCATCGCACGTCAACAACAACAGTACCTCAACATTTTGAGGCAGAGATCCCTCCAGTGAATAAGTTACAAGTTACTAATGGGTAATCCTAACTCACGTAGACGGCGACGCTGTATACCGCTATACCACATGAGCTCTTTGCTCACGCGAAGGGGTTTAAAGCTCTCACATTTCAGTGATTTGCACGGGCCAACACTGGCGAAAGGAAGCAAGACGTACTCCTTAATAGGTCAGGTCAGACAAGGATGGGGCTGCACGTTATCATACGATAGAAGGACATCAACGTACGCCACAATTTCCGTGCGTCTACAGAATTGACGGAAAAGTCTTAAACTGATAATTGTTTTGATGATTAGTTGCTAAAGTTTAAACGGCTCTATTTACAATGTAACTTCAATAATAGTGTAGTCTTCCACATCTACCGAAGTAATGACGTCTTTGTTGGTCAAAGATATTGGCTAAACCCGTTTGTCGTAAAGTATGGCCACAAAACCGCTTTTTTATGCGTACATTTAAAATAAATTGTTTTGCTCATTAACACGCATAGATTCTAATTATTGTTCACATAAGTATCTAGTTGTTTGCGTAGCTAATATTGCTATATAAGGTCTGGGTGGACTGGATAGTCTGGGTGACTAACGCTTTTCTCTTTGAGTCCGTTACCTTTTCAGTCATTCGTATGGCTGTTGTCCTGCTATTCCAAACGTTTGTTGGAGAGATCCCGGATAACTCGTAAAAAGGCAAATTCTTCATGCTATACCCTAAAATAGATGATTCTAAGGCTTCTTAACACGAACAGATTAACTCAAGGTGTTGAAAAAATAAAAATAAGAAGACAGATGATATTGCTAGATAATTTATGTGTGCCCATATATGCACATTGGAAAATTTCGACTGTCCAATCGGCCAATATACTCATTTAGGTTAGCTTCGCATCACTGTCTTTTAAACAGGCGCTGTTTGATAATGTACTGCAAAATCCAGAACAGTGTCAAGCGACGACGTCGTTGGCAATTGATGGACGAGGAGTTCCCGCTCCTGCGACGTAGCCGTTACTATAAGCTAGCTTTTGCCTAGCTTGCATCGGCTGGCGTAACTACAGATTCTCTTTGATGAACAAGAAGACGCCGGATCGGCGAAACGTCGATGTGTTTTGCTCGGAGACACACTGTAATCTCACGTGCGCTTTTGCTGGTTTCCCCTTGCGTTTCCTGCTACATTCTCTATTGTCACCCGGCTAGACTGGCTCACTAGATCAGACCTGCCGGCCGAACCATCGAACACGGTATGGAACAGCCGGAAACGACGCGCGTCTGATCAGGATGAATTTGATCGGACTGGATTGTCACTGATTGTTACAGTGCGCAAATAGAAACTACCTTCTCTTTGATTCTTGTGCAGATGAAAAAGACGTTTGCTGCTATACCTGCCACAGGTTGCTTGTTGTCATTGGCATTCTCCTCTCGGATCCCCGCATATGATAGTATAAAATGATGATGATTCTGATACGGACAATGCTGGAGCTTTCAATACCAGAATAAACGCATCTAATGTTTGTATGTTAATGTATATTTGTGGAAAATATTTACAATTTGATTTATGCTATATATTAAAGGTATATTGGCACATCTAAGCAATTTCTACAAAAGGACATAAATACGTGTTTATTGTTGCTACTGGTTTTTATACGTTAAGGATACAAGGTTTTGCTCGAAAGATCCACATATACCATAATATATATTGTTACAGATGATCATATCAGTTGCATGATGATATATAACTTTTGCAGGCCCTGAGCGTCGGAAACCGCTGTCTCGTCACCAGTAATAGAGCGCCGGGTTAATTCTGCTCTTCTTTGAGTGATTTATGATCACCCTGAGCTAGGTATTGATGAGTCTGCCTTTGCTTAAAATGCCCATGCTTTGTCATTTAGTTCCCTTCTTACATCAAACATAAGTGCGGACCCTTTGATACTCATGTTTGTTTCTCAAAGTAGAGCAAGCACAAAGCGTTTGCTAGACAGAAGGCACAAATTCAAAGTTGTGAAACTTTGCTTGTGGGTACCAGACATGCAGGCGAATGTCTTGCTATAAACTCGGTCAGAGGTTAGCCAGCCTTTAGTGATATCGGGTGCCCCGGCCTTTTGCCTTATGCAACATATAGGAACCAACAAGGGCTGACAAAAATCGGTTTTGTGTCGAAAGCACCGTTTTTGTAATTGCAACCCAGTAATCTAAAGCTCTCTTATTTGCCTTTCTTTTTTGTTAGACGAGTACTAATCGCGGTAATTTTACTATTGTTTTTCTCTGTTTTCTTCAATGTATTTACGCTTAACATTTTTTTTAAATATAATTGCCACACTTGTATAAGTAAGCGCTTGTAAGTTTTTTAATTACTTTCTGCACACTTCTTTTATGTGATGATATTTAATGACTGTTCAGAACCTACCTCTGTATAAAAAAATCGAAATTTGTGCTAGAGCTGCTAAGGTGGCTATGGTCGGAATAAATTTAACTCTGTAAAAACATAGTTTTTGCTACAGTGCAATGGTAGCATACCACTGAACTCGCGTTGAGACCCAGCTTCGAGTCCGTGCGTAGATACACTTTGTTTCGTGCTGGACTCTGGTTTTGCTTAACGTTTCAAGTATCAGGTACAAAATTTCGAAAATTTATTTATTTACAAGCAGGTAATTATTATCAGGAAGGTCTCGGGGATCCGTGATGCGCATTCGTCACAGGGGATCAGCGGTACTTAATACGAACCTCACAAATTCCCTTAATCTGCGTTCATCCACCCTCAAAAGGTCAGCATTAGCAGATTGAACGTTCTTACACATTTTAGCCGCCAAGGTATATCGTCTTCGGATTGGTTCAGAATTACAAGAATACGTACTCTGTATGTGGCACACCATTCGACTGAATTTGCGTTGTAAAAGGTAAAGGTCAAATAGGTTGCCATTAAGGTTAGGACCAGAATGGCTGTAGTGTTATGGTCACTGGTCCCGATTGTTCGCCTAACAGGCTCTTTGGCTTTTCATATAACATCCCCCTCTTTTTATGATAATCTAATTAGACAACCATGACTAGTGACAATAGAAGCGTAGTCACTTTCCGAACTTTCCGTTTCCCCAGATCATTCAGATCTGCTGGGTACATTCGGTTCCGTTCTGAGCTGGCTAGGTAAAATTAGTAAAAATCATTCTTATTAGTACAGTTAATGTGGACAGTAATCGTCACTGGGCAATGCTTATTTTATCTGCCAAAGACGCGCGCTCTTGAGTTATAACAATCGTCCCCAACGTCGTCCTATGCCTATGTGCCAACAACGTTTTATCAGTGTCCATTTTAAATGGTTTGCTAGTTAATTTTGATAAAAAGTACGCTTATAATAAACAGATCTGACCGACATATAAAATAACAGGACTTCTGCTTACGGGCACTCGAGATCATCAGTTCGAAAACTTACAACTTTGTTTTGTACCAACATCTCTTAGACGCAATCAACAACATATGATCTATTAAGATAATCGTAAAAACCAGCAGCTGCATGTGTTCATTTTGTTCACTCACCGTCGTTTATGAAAAGCTTATCTCCAATTGTGTTCAAGGGCACCGGCACACACCCGTCAAGGTACTGGTTTTCATTGGAAACGTGAGCTTGCACAGCCTTCTGAGACTCGTTTAAAGATAAACTCTAGATTGGTACTCGAGGCACGTGGTACACGTTGGGCATAGAACCATTTCCTTCAAACCAGAACGGCTTATATAAACTACTATCCTAAGGCAAGATATAAAATGACAAACATGGTTGATTGAATACATCTAATACATATATATGCATTTACTAGAGCAGGAAAGCTGCATCTCGACTACAGTCAGTTTCTGCGCTAAAGTAGCGGGTCAGGCTATCGTTGAAACAGACCATGCACCAAGCTCGAGCTAATAATATAGTATGCAGCCAGTTAGAGTGCACCTACGGATATTTTCGAAGAGAAGCGAGCGTACTCCTTCTGGCAGAAACTGACCCGTGCAGTATAAGCATCTGTTCGTAAAACGTCCAACTTGTTTTTATGATGAGAGGGTGCTGTTTTTACACTTCTAACTCTTAAAAATTCGAGAAAAGTATTGTAAATCACTAACATATATATATATATATATATATAATTTACTTAGTCACATTGTAGTTTTATACTATACCAATTTACTGTATATAACTTTTTGGTATAGTTACATTCTAGACCGTACCGAATGTCGATTCAACTCCAGCATCTCTGCCTGATATTTAACGCAAACACTATGCCTATACGATACAATGTTGTCCCTAGTCCAAGTCATATTACAGGATAGTTTTCTCCATTTT